CGTTTGGGTCCTGAAGGAATCCTCGTGCCTTAATCGAAGGGGGGGGGCTTCGAACGAAACTAAGGCGCGAGGATTCTTTCAACACCCAAGGCAAGGCGAACCGAACAACCGTCCTGAAGCGAAGCCCACCGACAAAGGTACAAAGGAGGAGTTGAAGGTGGCGGGGAGAAGCGGGGAACGGCTGGCTGGCCGGTTGCTCAGCTCACCTTGCCTTGTCATGCGTGCTGATGCCGGTACTGGGCCGCGGATCATTTTGTGATGCCGGTACCGGGCCGTGGCACAAAATAGGTTGGGGGCCACTGTTATAAGAAGACAAACTGATGAGAACACACCTCTTTATATCCCAGAATTCTCCCTGCCTCCTATTTTCCTTCAGAATATACTTCTAAGCAAAACTCTCAGGGCCCTACATTTTGCCATTTTTATTATTGAAGTAGATGAGTTCAAAAGGCATTGTTAGAAATAATTTGAAAACTGCCATGTCCCTTGCAGTGTTGTTTTTGAAATAAGTGTTCTTCAAATTGAACCTTTTCAATATTTGAAGTCAGGTGGGGCACGATGGTCACCAAGGCACCAACTGGACAGTGTATTGGTGACTCCAGGCCTAGTAGTACTGATGTCTTAATATTTTTTAAAAAGTATATAAATAAAATGAACAGATTAAAAGCACCAGAATAATACATAAATTGGTCAAAAATATCACAAGGGTGGCCACAATCAAACCAAGACAGTAGACATACTGGTTCATTCACACAGCCATCTTAGATTTTTTTTAAAAAATTCCCTATAAAATGGGGTTTCTGGTTCTTCTGCACCCTCTCGTTTTATCTGATAGTGACCAAATAGTTTTATCTGATAGAATGACTAGTTAAGATATTATAAAAAAACCAAGATAGGTTTCTTCTTCCCAAAGAATATCTGTAAAGAACGATGTTTTTGACTCCTCAAACAGATGAGACTGGTTCTTCCTTACCTCTTTTGAATTGCCAGTTCAACCACTAACTCCCCTTTTCCTGCTGCAGTTTTAAGTCTTTTTCTTTTTAAGTGTTCTCATCCATATCAGTTTACTTCCTTGCAGGCTAACTCCAACCGTTCACTGGCTACTTTTCTTTTTCTTTTTTAAGTTTATAAGATAGCCATCTTCCTGGTTTATTGGCGTGTTCAAAATAATTTTGTTTGGACCTTCTCAAGCTAACTTCTATTTTATCTTGTTCAATTAAATTCAGCTTATGTTTGGCTAATATTAACTGGTTTTGTAGTCCTTGGATCTTAGGGGTTTTTTGTAATCGTATTTCTAAGTCTTGGATTTGTTGTTGTAATACGTTTTGTCGGGCATAAATTCTCTTGTTTCTCATAGCATTATAGGAAATTGTTGTGCCTCTTATAATTGCTTTCATAGTATCCCAAATGTTCTGTTTTGAAGTTGTTTCATTATTATTATCTTTTAGAAAATAGTTTAGCTCCTCTTTCAGCTTATTAATATACTCTTCTTCATTTACAATTTGGGTGTTTAGTGTCCATCTTTTTTTTATTCGTCTCCTATCTCTCCAAATTAGCTGTATTGGGTTATGGTCAGCCCATTCATTCGGTAGGATTTTAATTTCTTTTATTTCATTAGCCAAATCCAAATCCATCCAAGCCATATCTATTCTAGTCCAAGTCTTATGTGGATTAGAATAGTATGTAAATTGTTTTCCTTCAAGATTCCGTTCCCTCCATAAATCTTTTAAATTTAACTCTCTCAACATTTCCTTACATGCCGCAGAAAGTTCCCTTTTCCCCTTCTTGTTTTTTCCCATATTACTATGGTCTTTTTGGTAGTCTGCAATGGAGTTAAAATCGCCAATCAAGCAAATGTTTCTTTTTTCAAAGCCTAATATTTTTTGGTGAAGGTGTTTAAAAAATTTCCCCTGGTCTTCATTTGGAGCATAGATTGCTGGCTACTTTTCAAAGGCAGGATCACTATCTCCATTGAGCCAATGTGTCAATGAAAACTCAAATCATCCAAGCCAAAAGTATTTTAAAAAGTTAAATCAGGGCAATTGAACCATGAACCAAAGTATATTAATTTGAAACATTTAACTTCTCATCCAGGAAGCTTCATCAGGGGGAAAAGTTTGGGGGAGAAACCCCTGCAATTGGTGAGACAAGAGTTGGTTCATTGCAATGACTATTTTTCTATTTTGACTGATTGCTTCCAGGATGGGAAGGAAATGTTTCAAATTAATATACTTTGGTCCAGTTGCCCAGATTTAACTTTAAATACATTGAGGCAATGGTTGATCTCCCAGACTTTCACAGCCATGCTGAGATTGAGTAGTACTATTTCAAAAGAACAGTTTGCTATTGGTATGAAAATAGCAGAGGTATAAGAGTTTTGTCTAAGACATAGGTGTCCAAACTTTTGGCTATAGGCCCTGAGCTGGGACACACTTGGTCTAAGATTTATAGAAGTTGCTGGTTCAGAACACAGTAGTGCATGGTTAAAAATTACATTTTTTTATTTTTTATTTAAAATATATATTTGGCCTTCTTCATTCAACTATGGACAGCTCACAGTAACCCTAAAAACCAAGTAACAGCACAAGCAAAAACTTGGTATCTCAGCCATTCTCCTCAGATGCAGTCAACATTCGTTTTCTAGCTAGCTTTTCCTTAGGCTAGCTAAGGCTTTTTTTAAAAAAGGAAATAAAAATAAAAAATGTAGTCCATTCTTTCATTATTCTTTCAGACAAAATGATAGTGAAAGTATAGGCTATTATCCTGCTAAGAACTTTAATAACTCATGAATTTGCATTAGTCACAACTACTTTAATCACTTATGCTTTTGCTTGATATCACCATTGTAGGGTCAGCAATTAGCTAACACTGACTTTGACACTAGAAGCTACAGCTGACTATAAATGGTTATAGGGAAGTATAGTCTAGTTTAGTGACCAAAGTTGGTGGTATTGAAAAAAGTAACTGAAGACCATTTTCACACTTACAATCATTGCAGCATCTCCATAGTCCATTCTAGGATCAGAATTGACACTTGACTTGTATTTGTTTAGTCTTTTGAGACCTGCTGACAGGTTAATGGGGAAGCCAGATTCACTTAACTGTTACTAACTTTAACAACTGCAGTGATTTGGTTAACAGTGACAAGGGTCATAAAATGGGACAAAACTCAACTGTCTTGCTTAGCAGCGGAAATTTTGGGTCTCATTTTGGTCATAAGTCAAGGACTACCTTTATATGTATGATTTTTAAGTGGAAATAATAGTTAAATCAACATGAATTCTTACCCTGGGGCTTCCTTTTATTAATACTGTACAATACAAGAACACATGGAAACCGTTTTGATATTTATATGCATGGATAATAAAAGATCTTTTCTTACAGTTATGTTTAATGAAATGCTACTTAAGGGAAAAAAGAATTACAGAATATCTTGTGGGACATTGAAGTTGAGTTTCATATAAAGCCTTGAAGAATTCCTACCATATCTTAGTATTACTCAGATGGACTGTAGTTCTGGCCCACTAACCTTGACAAAATATCAGACTGTTCTATGCATATCTGAAATTACAAAAAAGGACTTCTGGAGGATTATTTGACCTAGCACAAAGCAGCAAAGGCATGCAAGACAATTACTCTACACAAGCATGTAAAGAAAAGTAAGCTGCCGGTTTAGAACAAGTGTACCAAATGGCACAGTAGTTAAGAAAACATGCATGGGTTTTTTTTCCCCAATTCTCTCCTTTAGAAGTCAGCATTAAGTTACACAAGGCATCTTCATTAAAATAAATATCCTACACTTAATAAAGCAGTGTTTAATTTTGTTAACCCATACTCAGAAACAGCTTGTATTTCAAAGAAAATTAAATAAACCAAGAAATAATATAGTTCCTGACTGTAAATTGTGTAGAAGCCTCACATGGGAATTATGTTTACTGGTTTAAACTACAAATAATTATTTCATCAGAAAATAATGGCAATATCGTTACTTTTAAAAGGGACACAGGTAAATAACCTGCTGAATTTATGGATGAGCATCTTAGCAAATAAAGCTGCTGATGGGTGTTAGATTGCATGCTTACAATTGCTTCCAACTAAAGATGTTTGGTAGGTGAGAAGTCAATTCAGTGTGATATGTTGAATTTAAATGTCAGATTAAAAAGAAGGGATGGGTAAAATAAAAAATGAACAAAATAAGAACAAATCCAATCACATATACAAAATATTGAGTATTAACATTTTCAGGTATCACGATACATCACTTTCTCACTAGCCATTTTATATTAATTGGAAGATATTTATTGGAAGATATTTAAAAAAACATAATTAAAAAGAGGTAAGGAATGGAATGAACTAGATTCTGAATATGCAAAAATAGGAATGCACAAGTGTTTTGTCCTGGAATGTTCTAAGTAGAATTCAGGCAGCATTAGGAAATACCAATACTCATGATATAACAGTATATTCAGAGCCTGTAATATTTGCAAATTAATGAATATTTCTTACTAACCAGTTAAGAGAACTGTCTTTTACCACTTCAGGAACCCTCAGTTAAGACTGTAAAAACTTTGGGAAATGAATTCTAAGTGAAGGCAATCCAATTGTTGAATTTCTATATTTTCTTTCAAAAAAGCTTGTGCACAGTAAAGTTAGGGTAGATGGATGAGCACACACTTAAATTTAAAGGCTATGGGGCAGTAAGGTGCAGGAAAGATTTGAAGATTGGCACACAAAACTACATGTGGGCAGTGAAAAGAACTGTATAAACTGTATATATAACTGTATATATGCCCTCGGGTTCCCAAGAATCTGGGTTGGCCAAAAAACTTGGGACTATAACTTAACAGCATTTTGCTTTGACAGTATGATAACCTATCCAGCAGTTTATCCAAACTTCCAAACCATGGTTTTTCCCAGTTTGGAACTCTTCAACAGGATTACAGATCATGCTTCCAACTGCTAATCAAACATCTTCCAGAATTGTCTTGTACAAAACAGCAAGATTTTAGAGATAATGCTAAACAGAGAAAACACTGGCCTTGTACAAATTCAGATTTCTGTTTTGAATAGCTGGTTTTTCTCCCTGAGTATTATTCCAAGAACTGTGCCTAACCTTTGCTAGTGTGGCAAACACCTTAGCTTCAATTGGAATATCATGCAAAGCAATACTGTTTAAGTGTGTTTTTAATTTTGAAAAACATAAGTTCAGAAGCATTAGCATTTAAAAATTTACAGGTAATACAAATCAAATCAGTTAAAATTTAAATTCATAATCCTTTAATATTTTAAACAAAAATAATTTGAAAAGCTATTTACAAAATATTTGCATCAGATATTATAAATGTCAAGGGTTAAGCTGAAGCGAATGTTGAAGCATTTCAATTTCAAAGTTTTAAAGTTGTAATTTTTCGGATTAAAAAATGCACCCAGAGCAAATATTATAATCTATTTTCTTATTCTTTTGCTTGCTCTTGTCCTGCCTTCAGTTTCTTTAGGCAACTCCGTCATTATTAGAGTGGTATTTTCTTCTTTCATTTTCTTTTTTCCTCTTGTTTGCACTGTAAATACGGAAAAACAAAACAAATATGATACCAATATTTACAAGAATTCTTCCTAGAGTAGGTAAATTATTTGGAACATACATACACACACGGAACTTTGAAATAATCTAACAGGATTAAAATCAATTAAAATTCAAGAAAATCTTCATGCAATTATTTTGCTAAAGCCCCAGTAAATATAAGTTCCAAAATGTACAGGACAGAATAAAAATGCCTGAATAATTAATTTTATATTCTTTCATTCAAACTGTGATAACATTAATCAATCTGAGGCTTTTTAGATTTTTTGGTGCTGTAGAACCAAGGATTTTGAAAACTATACTCACAACACATCTACAAATTTTCAGGCTAAAGAAGAGCATTACTTGGGAATGTTAACAGAATGTTAGCAGAACAATTTAGTATATTCCTATGAGCAAAAAAATTCCTCAATAGTCAATAGACACAATTCAAAAAGATATATAGCACACATGTAACTAAAAACCTATTATCAAAAGAGCTCCTTCAGAATCTTCTGAAAGTTCATGAATCTATGGGGAGATTGGACTTCTAAGTTGCATGTCCATAGTCAAGAAAGAAATTTTTTTCTTTTAAGTGGAGTATATATTGAACTAGACTGACTTGAGTTCTCAATTGCACTCTGTACATTCTTCTGGTAAATTGATACTCAAGTCCCAGAGTGAATTTTAAAATACAAAACCTCTGTATTGATTTGGACTGGTTTGTGGACCTTTTAGGGTGTGGTGCGCCCTTCTTGAACGGTTGCGCTCTATTAAGATTCCAGAATATTAAAACTGAAAATCCCATTCAAACAGAATTTAGGAATAGAAAGACAAGATCAGGAAAAAACCAGTGCTTCACTGGATTATCTCTTTAATTCTAAAGACTAAGAATAAAGCTTACTAGTTTAAGACAAAAGATAACATACCTGTTTTAGATACTGTTGATTTACTTTCTGGAGTTACATTTTTTACCATGTTAGCAGTGGTAATTGTTTCCGAATTGTTAATTTGTTTTCTTTTTGCATGTTCTGATGAACCTTTTTGCACCAGCATATTTGAGTGCTTAACATTTTTATTTTGGTCATAATTAGATGAATCATTTTGATTGATGTTTTGAGTCATGGTTTTTATTTCAAGAAATTTCGGTGCCTTGCCCATTAAGGAAATTTTTTTATTAGAAACATTATTTAGAATTTGTTCATTAGGAAAATTGTTACTCCCTGCTGATAATGTACATTTTTCTTTGGGGGAAGGAGAAACAGTAGCCTCAAGTTTATTAATTTTTCCTCTACCTCTTCTTTGATTGATCAGAGTTGCCTTAGCTGTTTTCTGCAAATCTTTGTTTTGAATTTCATGAACAAACTCTTCTTTTGGAATAATGCGCTTTCCTCTGAGAGAGCGTGTAATTATATTGTATGTACCTGAAAGTTTTGCTAATTTACCTTTTCCAACAGATTCTTTGCAGTTTCCACTTTGATTCTCATTAGCAGAAGATAAAGTGATGCTCATGTTCAGGGAGGGAGGAACTAGTGATGCAATATTAGTTTCTTGTCTTTGCTTCAATTGATGCTTTTTTTCAAAACTGTTTTCTAAAGGACCAAGATTACCTGTTACTAAAGGACTCTTTCTACTGCTAATTCTTAGCTCATCATTACTTTCTGCTGACATTCCACAAGGGGCTAATCGTTTTCTTTTACTTCTGGATGTATTTTGTTTTGATACAGCTTTTGAATCTTTCTTTCCATTTTGTTGAATGTCATTATTGGAAGAAATTGAGTTTGCTGAAATTTCATGAACTGCTTTCCTTTTTCTACATTTGTATGTGAAATTCTCATTTGCATTATTTTCTGTCTTCAAATCTTCATTTGGCTGTTCATCTGAATGTTCCCCTCTGTTTGATGACAGCAAATGACAAGAGTCATTTTTGACAGGAGAAAGAATTTTCTGAAATATAACAGTGTTTCTTGTTCTTCTACTTACTTTTGATTGATCCTCCTTTGCAAGGAAAGCATTTTTGCCATCTATATTTTCGCCTATTATAGGGTTTGTGTGTGTACTGTTAGAATCTGTAGATATAACACCAGAAATAGATTTTTTATATCTGCCTCTCTTGGGTGGATTCTCTTTCACTGTCCTTTGGCTCTTCAGTGAACAGGATTCTTGAGTATTTCTCTTCCCTCTTGCCTTTTTGGATTGATTATCCTCTTGTTCAATATTTGGACCTTGGACATCAACTTCATTACCAGATGTTTCATTGACTTGCCTGCTTCTTCCTCTCCTGGGTGGATTTTCTTTTACTATCCTTTTTGGCGGAATGTGCCCTTCACAAGTTTGCACATTTTCTAATGGCAACATTTCAGATTCTTCAAAATTTTCATTTTGAGCTTGTGGCAAAGAACATCCACCTTGGAATGAAGGGCATTTGTTCACTGTAGAATCTCCAGAAATATTTTCTAAAGGAACAGATTTGAGGACCACTTGATCTATCCTTCTCCCTCTGCTTCTTCTGGGCTGATTTTCTTTTAGACTGACAATCACATCATGATCTTTCCCATCAGAGGCTGGCTTGCTTTCACTTTCTACAGAAGGATTGGAAACTGATTTTTTGCCTCTACCTCTGCTAGGCAGATTCTTTTTTGATAGCTTTTCTATTCTGGGTGGACTGGGAGTTTGCATGCTTTCCAAGGGAACCTTTGGAATCCCATTACAAATGTTTTCAGTTTGACTTTCTTCTTTATGAGTATTACTCTCATATCCAAGTACACATTTTTCTTCAGAAGCCTTAAAGTCATCGTTAAGTAAAAACTGAACTTTTTTTTTCTTCTCCACTAATTTTTTCCCCATTGCTTTTAGATTATTTTCTGAAGCTTCGGTTTTACATATTTTAGATATTGTAGATTTTTGTGTTCCTTGCTCATCTGCATTCAAAGTTGTGATTAATGTTTCTGGGCTTGATTGTATTGCAGCAATCTTTCTTCTTTTATTACTTTCTTCCCCTGACATTGTATCATTTGCTTTACCTTTGGCAATTGTTGTCTTTATGTCACTTGCACTCTTTTTTACATTTCTAGACCTTAGCCTTGTTTTGGCAGTTAAATCATTTTCATTTTCTTGAATTGGTCCATTTTCTTCCAAATCCATACTTGTTACCATTTTTCCTTTTCTTTTAGTTGCTACTTTTCTCCTGTTCACAGAATGTTTTTCCACTGCTGTTTCCTTTAAAGGTTTTTCTAATTCCTGAGTATGGCTTATATTATTAGATCCTATATTCCCATTTGTTTTAACATTCTGCTTCTTTGATCTCCCTCTTTTAGATAATTTGGTTGTTTCAATTATCGTAAAATTACTTTCAGATTTGTGCAATAGTTTTAGTTCTGTGTGGCTGTCAAAATTTTCACTGATTTGCTCACAATTAGCTGGTGTTGATCTATTCTTTGTAGGCTTCTCAATTGTCTTAGTATATACTGCAGAACTGCAGTCATTTATTTTCCTTCTCCTTGTTCTACCCAAAGCAAGTGGTTCAGGCTTTTCTGTTTTTAATACATCAGAATTTTCAGTTGCTTCTTTTACAAAATCAGTGTTAGCTTCATTTTTGAAACTCATTCCATCTGGCTCATAGTTTTCAGAGAGAGAGATTGTTCTGGTTGTTTTTTTGAACTCTGTTTTCAATTCATTAAATAAATTACATGCAACATAGCCTACATGGTTTGGAACACTACTGTTATTTTTTGTTACTAGAAAATGAGATTCTTTTTCCAGGTCTGCTTCACAACTTCCAGGCACATTTTCCATGGACTCTGAAATAAAATATGATCAAATATATTTTTAAGATCACAGTCATTAAGAAAAATGAAGTTTTGAACTGATGTTCTGGTTAACTTTCTTTTTATTTGGAGAAACATTTATGTAAGTATCCCAGTAATGATTTAAAAACTTTTTAGAATACTAATATTTATATTCTAAAATTTTTACTAATTTTAAATTTACAGAGCTGTAATTTTTTAAAAAATTCTCATTAATATTCACTGCAGTGAAACAATTTGTATCAAAATTAAAATGTCAAAATTTAGACAAAATGTTTTTGCTTGAATAAATCAGAATCATGTCTTCATTCACCTATACTACAGTACTTTCAAAAGAATATACAAAGCATATTTTAATGAAATAAATCTTATACTTACCCAGTTTATTTCTGGAACTGGTATAAGATCCATTCTCTTCCACAAAATTCAGAGATTCTGGCATTTTAGCCTACAGAATTATTAAAATAGCTGATATCAAAATATTTCTCACATAAAAATGTACATGATACAGCTGTGTATTTTGCAAGGCTGGGCTTAGAAAACAGTGCAGCTGAACATTTTTTCAAAAAAATAATAATTAAATTTATAGAGTGCATGCAGACTATACTTGTGCTATAACTGCCAGGAAATCAAAGTAACTGTACTTATAACATGTATATATAGGCAAAGCATAGCATTTTAAGAAGCCATGCTTCTCAAGGAATTGTTTTACATAATCCTGTTTTATATTAGCAGAGATTTAGTACTACACAAATTTATATTATGTATATTAAAACATAACAACACATTATACAATATGTGCAAATATGAAGTATTACTGCTGGCAGTAACAGTAAGATTAATTTTCCTTGAAGTATTACTGCTGGCAATGACAGTAAGATGCAGAGGAGTTTTAAAAAATCTGTGTTATGCAATATTAATAGTTAAAATTAAGAAATCAAAATATTGTAATGTTACTCTAATGTTACTCTAAAATTTAAGTAGCTAAGTACTACAAGATCACAATGTTTAGCCCTAAATCCAAGGACCAAAGTAACTATCTAATTGTCATTTGAATTTTCTAGGATCAAAATAATTGATCCCAATATTTCAAAATGTTATTACGGAATAAAAATGGATTATGTGAATTCTTTTAGTTACTAAATTATGGGCTACCTAAATAAAAATGAGTACAAATATTTGATATAATAAATGTACCTTATCATTTTCAGTGTCCAACATTTCTTTGACACCTGTATAATCTATATCAAGAATTATGAAACTCTCTTTAGGTTCAATTATAAACTTTTGCAATCCTAAGTAGTCATCAGTTGGCATAGATTTTGGTTTTGATGCTTTCAACGTCTGACTGCTATCGACCATATTATTTATGGGTTCAAATCTTTGCTTTGGTGACATCATTTGAGTATTTCCTCTATCTTCTATTAGCTTCACAGTTTCCTTAACTTCCTCAGTAATGCCATTAATAGTTGTATCTTCCATAATTTGTGCTTCATTTTTGGTAACACTTCCAATCATGTCTTTTAATACTTCTTCAGTAGATAATCTAGATGTAGTATAAATATCATCTGCAGGAGGCTCCATAGTCTGTTTGGGTGTTTTCAACAACACCTTGATTTCTGAAAATATCTCCACAGGTTCTGATTTTTTCTCAGGTGTCTCTAAGAGCCTCTTGATCCCTGAAAGGTCCTCAACAGATTCAGATTTTTCCTTAGGTGTTCTCAAGAGCCTCTTG